CCTGCGACCGTGCCTGCCTCCGTGGGTGGGGTGGAGCCCCCTGCGACCGAGCCTGCCTCCGTGGGCGGGGTGGAGCCCCGTGCGACCGAGCCTGCCTCCGTAGGCAGGGTGGAGCCCCGTGCAACCATGCCTGCCTCCGTGCCCAGCCATGCACCACGGCTGAATCCATAAATGCTCAATAAGCCAGCTAATGAACCAGTGCCCCTCAACACACAGAGCACTTGTGACACTGTCAGTCCTGGGCAGAACCCTCTTCGCAGAGTGTGTAGCAGTGTGCCCAGGACTGCCCTGCGCAGCCCGGCTCACAGCTGAGCGCTCCAGGCCCGTGTACTTGTGTCATCCTCCTCAAAGCACAGCAGTCTCCGCAGTGCCACAGTGTACCAGATACCAAAGCACTTAGCACTAAAGAGACACTCAAGAGCAAATATTTGAGGGGGAACTTCCAACTCTTGCGAGGTATTCTAGTCATGTTTGCATCTACCTCAGCACCGCCCAGGCCACCCTGCCAGGCCCCATGGGAGAGGGAGTGGACCTGCTCCAGCTCAGGGCCATCTTCTCAATGACTTCCTTCATTCTCAATCAAAACTTCCCTTCAATCAACAAAGATTTACAGAGAAAGAAAGCAAGTACCCACATGGGGGCCAGGCTAGGCCTAGGCCCACCCACGTTGACCCACAGTAAATCTCACTCCATGGAAGATGCTGAAAAAGAGGAGCACTGTGGGAATGTCAAAGTCCTCTCAAGCTTCTGAAGTTGGTGGAATTGATGCCTGGACAACTACAGCCTCCTCAGCCACAAGAGCCTGGTATGTGTGTGCGCACACACATACACACACACATGCGCGCGCGCACCCTCCCTATCACTTGGTCCACACCCAAGAGTAACACACAGCTTTCTTCAACAGCTAAGGAAAGGTAGCTGACAAGGTGAGCACCGTCACTTGGCATGGGCACAAGACCAGCAAACAGCCGGTGCCTAAGTGGACCTTGGGTCTGGAGTTAACCACCCACACTAAACCGAGGGGGAACTCTCTTAGGGCAGCCTCAGTGACAGGAAGGAGATGCCCAGCAATAAGTGCTGGACACCATAGTAATGGCAGAACTGAAAAGCCACCAACCAAGCACCTAGCAGCGGGCACCAAGGCCCTGACCTCTGAAGGAACAGGAATGTGTGAGACGCACTCCTCATGCACCTGGCGATTCCTTCACAGGGCATCTGGAGCAGTGAGAAGATGCGGCGAGACTGCAAAGAAACTGCTTCCCTGGGGAAACCTCCCAGCCGGGAGGGAGCTCCGGCTTTCAGGACCAGCCTGCAGCCATGGCCGTGCAGGACAAGCCCGGGTCGGGTGGCACAGGTGTGGGTGCTGGGCAGCGGGCTGCCAAGCCCTGGTTCGCTTATAGGCACAAACGGCGACACCCACTCCATAAGCGGTGATGCCCTAACACCCGCGGGCACAGGCTGCCTCCCTCCTGTCAATCCAAGGACTGAGGAAAGTTTAAGTCTTAAACAATCATCACTTGTGGGTCTCTCTCGCCTTTTAACCTGGTGACACCACCAGCGAGAGGACAGGAAGAGCAAAAACCAGGAAGCTCGACTCCAGAAATCCCCCAGCCCGCTTTTGCAGTGGAGTTGGCACGGGGACTGGGGAGGGAGGGGACACGAGGGGACACGGAGGAGAGGGGGATGGAGGAGCCTAGGGGAATTGGAGGGGGTAGATGGGACAGAAGGGGACAAAAGGGGACACAGAGGACAGGAGAATGGGGGGACACGGACGACAGGGACAGGAGGGGACAAGGGGACAGGAGGCAACAAGGGGACAGGAAGGACAGGGGGACTTAGGGGAATGGAGGACCAGAGGGGACGGGGGCAGGAAGAGACAGGAGGGGACACAGAGGGTACGGAAATGGGGGACACGAAGGACAGGGAGGACGGGAACAGGAGAGAACGGGGACAGGGAGGACAGGAAGCACAGGTAGGGACAGGCTGGTCTGCTCCTCTGCTACTTACCCGCCTGCTGGGTGCCCCGGGCCCCGGGGCGCCGCCGCCAGAGAGCAGGGTGACGGTGGACGTGGAGCGCAGCATCCCTCGGGCTGCCTGTCCGGGCACCTGCTCTCCTTTGCGAGAGTAAGAGCCCGGGCGCGGGGCAGGCAGGGAAGGGACAGGATGGGGCGTGGTGGGGCTCAGGGGGCGTGGTCGGGAAGGGGGGCGGGATAAGGGGCGGGTCTTAGGCGGGGTGTGCGCGGAGGGGCGGGGTTGGGGCGGGGCCTGTGGGGAGGGCGGGGCCTGCGCCGGCGGGACCCGTCCTGCTGCATTTTCTCCCCGGGACTGACCGTGCCACCATTGAGCGGGGTCTGCTGCTGGCTCTGGACCTCCCAGTTACTCAGGGAGGACGAGTCTGTACTGGGGACCCGAGCTTGTCCCGCCTGCGCTCCCGCTGTCCCCTCAGTTTTGCGGCCCACGGGACCCTACAACCTCGCTGTGCAGCTCTTTGAAAGTGGAGGAGCTGCACTCCCCAGGGACCCGCGAGCCCGGGCGGGCAGGGGGAGGAGAGGCGTTCCTGCGCTGGGGCCTGGCACCAGGGGACCTCCAGGAGGTGACAGCGCTGCCAGAAGCGCAGGAAGGAGGAAGTGTTGAGCTCGGCGTGGCGCTCAGTGACTCCCGATGCCCGCCGATGAGCACTGCCTCACTTAATCCAGGGGCTGCTACCTGCTTCCGCGTAGGCACCGCTGTCATGCTGCGTCCACATTTTGCAAGCAAGGATGCTGACTCACCAAGGCACGGCGTGACAGGGCAGCTGGCCGTGGAAAGCAAAGCCAGACTAGGAGCCCCGTCTGACCCTCAGATGCCAGGGCCAGGCTGTGCCTCCCGGGCCCCAGCTGGGGAGGAAGAGGTCCAGGCCCAGAGAAGGCTCTTGTGCAAAAAATGGGAGGGAAGCCCTGGCGGGCCTGGTGCGCTCCTGGAAGCCATAGGTATCACAGCACAAGGCACAAAGGGTGGAGAACCAGCAATGGAGGTGCGGCCGGTCATCAAGAACCCGGTGTGCTTGGTCCGTGTGTCATCCTCCAGCGTGCTTTTCAGCCTCAGAAGAGAGCATTTCTGGCCACCCTTCGGAGGCCAAGCCTCACACAACGGCCTGAGCCAGCAGCTCCTGGAGCCAGATCTGTCAGCGCGGGCTGTGCATGCCTGCCCCTTTACCTTCCCAGTCAGGGGCCCAGCCTGACCCAGGCGCTGCTCAGGGAATGCTGCCGCACAGAACTGCAAATGATCCCAGAAACTTGCTGCTTCGGCAGATGAGGAAGCTGTGGCCAGTGTTCACGGCGAATTCCAAAGTCACATGGCCTGCTCGCCGTCATCCTCCCCACAGCGGGGCCTGTGATCTGCATGCCTTCTGTTCGTTTCATCCAGTCCACACAGTGGCTCCAGCAGGTGGATGTGGTTATCGCCTCCATTTTGCAGATGAGCAAACTAAGGCAGACACATTAGGCCACCTGGCAAACAGCTGAGACCAGACATCCCTCTACCGCCAGACCTGCACCTTTACATTCCTGTCTTCACCCTCCTAGTCACCTACCTCCTCTGCAAGGAGGCTCTTGAAGTTGTTCTCTCTGTTCTACTTTCACACAGCGCTCTGCTCAGGGCAGCATCCTGAAGACTAAAGCCTGGTCTGCCTTGCAGTGAGCAGCATCAGAGCTGGTGAGAAGCGCCTGGCATTGAAGACAACTCAGTGGTCACCTCCAGGGGAAGAAAACTAATGACTAATGTTGTTTGTTTTTCTCCCCTGAGGGGAAAGGACATGGGCTTTCAGATGAAGTCAAAATAAGCCTCCGATCAGTAAAGCTTACTTATATCATGGCGGTCACCACTTGACCAGCCAAGCTGAGCATTTGAGAGAAAAGGTGGCCCATAGATCCAATTTTCCTCCCCTCATCTGTGTTTGTCATGTTGTTGATATAATATTTTTCTTTGTAGTTCATCTCAAAAGTATCAGATTGCTCAATTTGTGAGCTCGGCTGGGGAACTGCTTGTGTTTGTGCCTCAGTTTTCTAATGTCCCAAACATGTCATTGGCATGTAGTAAGTGCTCAGGAAATGTTGGGTGAGTGAAGAAATGCTATTACAGGGCAAGAGTGTAACTCATTTGTGGCCAAGCAAACAGAACCTAAGATCTGTGCCCATCTTGCTTCTAGGTAGACCAAGGTCCTCGAGAACGTTGCCCATTGGAGCAGCCAAAGCCCCAGGATCATTGTAGCCACATGCTCTCCACACCTGGTTGTCACCAAGGACTAAAGGGTTAAGCAGGTGCCAGATTGTCTCATACCATAGCCCCTCCCTACCAGGCCAACACTGGGGAAGATTAGGCAACAAGGAACTGCAAGAGAAAAGTAGAAAACCTTGGAAGTGTGGACATGGGGGAAATGGAAGATAGGGAGAGAAGAGGGGTAGGACCAAGGCATTGGTGGAAAAGTAAATGAAGGATATAAAAAATTAAGTCATATTCACAGGCTGCAGCAAATAGTTCTGGAAGGAAACAATACAAGATGAAGATTAATTCTTCAGAAGAGAGGCCCAGGCTGAGGACTCCTGTCCCAGCCGGAAGTCCTCCAGAACCTACAGCAAGTGCAGAGAGCAGGGACTGGGCTCTGGTGAGGGTGGTTATCATGCTGTCTTTCCACAGCCACAGTCACTCCAGGGTCGAGAGCAGATCCACATGCCCAGAGCTATCCCAAGTATCTTGTCTTGGGGAGATGGCTCAGTAGAATAAGTGCTTCTCTGGCGAGAGCAAGGGCCTGAGTTCAATCCCTGGTTCCACCAAAAGAACAAACAAACAAACAAACAAACAAACAAAAAAACATCAAGTATCTTGTCTGAAGCGCAGATGTGTAGAGAATTCCAGATGCCTCTCTATGGGCCTTCCCTTTCTTGAAACCAATTACTAAATTGTACTTCTCTCTCCCAACCCAGCTCCTAGCATTCTTTCACATTCTCCAGGCCTCTACTTCCAGAATTGGCTTGCAGCTTTCTGCTACATCCTGTCCAAACTCTATCAGCATCTTTACCTAAGAGGTTTCAGGGAATCTAGTTCTCCAGCAAAGTCCCAGAGAGCAAAGCCTGTTGTTATTTCTTAGCAGAAATGATCAGGAATGGAGGCCCAGGCTGATACCATAAGGATAAGTGTTAGGGGCTGCCTGATACTGTGATGCACATTTACATCACCGAAGCATCCCCTTTCTTTCTCTTCCATTCAGCTATGACAATATCCCAGAGTCCTGACATACTTCCCACTCTAAAACCTCAGTGACCAAACTTTCACAATGGAAGAGGCCACATTTGCAGTCCAAGGTCAAGGGCGTGGGATTACAAGTGGCTTTGAACAGAGCAGAAATGCGGTCCTCATGGGCTGTACAGGGAGGGAACCAGGGCAGTGACAAGGAGCTCAGGCAGAGAGGAACCCAACCCCAGCGCAGGCATCCAGACCCACAGAAGGCGCTAGTCCCTGGAAACCTGTCTGCACTCAGGGACCAGCCCTGCTGCTGGCCAACCCACCCTGGGGGACATGAGCTGCTCTAAGCCATACTGCAGATTCACCAGCTGACTGATTAACAGTCCTGGAAGAGAAACCATAAGTTGGTTTGTTAAACAAATATGTCTCAGGCACCTACTACGTGCTGGGTACTGGAGATTAAGAGACACCTGAGCCCGCTGCACTTGTCAGGGCTTCATGATCAGGTTGGGAAGAGAGGCATGCACTTAGAAGGATTTTTTTTTTTGGGGGGGGGCAGCTCAGGCTGCCAGAAGGGCAGGTCTGGTGCAGCGTGTGGAGCTGGGGATCAAACTGTGGTCCCCTGCGCCTGAGTTTGCCCAAGCAGGCGCTTTAAACAACTAAGCTAACCCGCAAGCCCCCAGAGGTGTGCACTTAGAAAGAAAAGTGATGATGAGCACTTACATGGCACTAATGTGATGGCTAGGCATGCTGATTTGTCATGAGCTTTCTGAGACCATAATGAGGAAAGTACCATTGGATCCATTTCTGTCACCTTTCCATCACCGGGACAAAGTACTAGACGCCTGCCTTTGTCTTGGCTCTGTTTCAGTGCATTCAGCCAATGGTCAGCTGACTCCAAGATAAAAACAGCATAGGGAGAGCTCACTGTTCACTGCCTGGCATCCATCCAGGAAGCAGAGAGGGCAGGGTGGAGCTGTAGAAGAAGCACTTCCGGTCACCCCTCCCAGTGACCTAGTGCTTCTGCCCCCACCTGTAAACAGTACAATCAGCCATAAACTCATCAGGGACAAATCCACTGATGAGTACAGTGTCCCCTTGACTCAGTGATTTTGCAAAAGTCCCAACTCTGAGCTCAAGACTTCTGGGGGACATTTTAGCCCTAAATCATAAGTCCCTCTCCTGGAGATGACGAAAAGGGGACGGCAAGATGACTGGCCCCCATGCTAACACTGTGGGGTGAGCTGAGGGCTGGCAGCAGGCACACGGCTCTGGAGGGCTGGGAGATGCATGGTTGTACTCACCCTGAACTCTGAGGCAAAGGGAATGGCCTCGTGCAGAGTAGTGTGGGGTTAGACAGCACAGGGCCTCCGTTCAGCCAACACTGGACCATAGGGACTAAGCTGTCGGTGAGGGCCAGGTCTGCTTAAGAAAGAGGCAACAGCAGAGAGAGGGGTTAAGGTGTAAGGGAGAGGCCGGGTTCTGAAATTGAGTTGATTTGTTGTAAAAAAAAAAAATTGAGGTGAGAGAGTCCATGGCAGTGGAAACAAAAAGGGGTGCGCTCAAAAGACAGGAAACCAGCAGAACTTGGGCGCTGAGGCAGAGCTGCCTGCTTTGAGACTCGTATGTTGGTCAAGTGAGTATCCCACAGGCCTGGTGCAGAGCTGAGGGGGGAAGGAGACAGTCAGGCAAAGAGGTGGAGTGAAGGGTGGACCATTCCGCTGTCAGCAAGGTGCCTCTCTGCATTAGACACAGCGAAGGACCCCTCGTCCCAGGCGGAGGCATCAGCCTGGCTTTTCCATGGGGCTGCCCTCTGTCCCCACAAATGGGTCCCAGATTGTTTTGAGCCCTAACATAATGTTTTTCCCCAAGATGCTTGTAATATAGGCCCTACCCTAAAAGTGAGCCCCAGGAAAGATCCTCAGCCAGAT